TGAGCTTACTTAAATATGAATTTAAATATTTAAATATGAAATGTTGTTTGTTTTTCCCAGAGCACAGGCAGCAAAACCCTGCATTCTTTTCTTTGATGAATTTGAATCCATTGCTCCTCGAAGGGGTCATGACAATACAGGAGTTACAGACCGAGTAGTTAACCAGTTGTTGACTCAGTTGGATGGAGTAGAAGGCTTACAGGGTAATAATTACAAATACAGAAATACACTGTTATAACAAAATTTTACCAGGTTTTAGTAAAAAAAAAATTCTTTTTTCCTCCAGGTGTTTATGTATTGGCTGCTACTAGTCGCCCTGACTTGATTGACCCTGCCCTGCTTAGGCCTGGTCGCCTAGATAAATGTGTATACTGTCCTCCTCCTGATCAGGTGACAATTTCATATTTAGAGTCCAAAACCCAACAAATGCTACACTCTTTCCTTGTGAACTTTACTTCTGCCAGGTAATAGCAATTGTCCTTAGAAGACCAGCTTTCTTAGGCAAAGGCTTTAGTCAGTTTGCTCAAAGCATAAAAAGATTCTGAATTAGATGCAAAGCCTTTCTGTTTCCCAGCCATTTCCATGCAAGTCTGAAAACTTTATAATCCTTCAGTGTTGGCTAATTGGAAAAAAAGGCAAGGAACCTAAAGTGTTATGTGTCCATGTTCTCTGTTCAAAGATCACGTACCCCATTATCCTGTCAAAAAACTCTGATACAGAATCAAGCATATGAATAGTAAGCATGTAAGCAGGTTTCATAGAGATACGATTTTCAACTGTTTCTAGTCCTATGTTGTTCCAAATCTTGTTTTCAAATTAGAAACTAGTGAATAGATGAATGAAATAACAGATAGACAAATGAATAGGCAAAGGTATAAAATATCTGAATATATGTCATATGTAACTATTATTTAAATTATTTTAATTTTCCTTTTGAAATACTTTCTTGACACACTCGCCAAAATCCAGGGAATAAGCATTGTCTGAATAAGATATTTTTTACGCCAAATAGTTAAGAATGTTGATTTTCATTCATTTTACTACCTGTGTTCCTTCTGTTAGGGAAAAAGTTCCAAGGAAGATAAATAATAGACTGGTGGTACATTTCTCAACTTACTTGTAAAGCTTATTGGATGTGTAAAGTTAATTTATGAAAAAAATCATGAGATACACAGTTGAAGATGATATTTAATTTTATTTTTTATTTGTTAAATGAATTTGTTTTTCTCCCTTCAGGTGTCACGTCTTGAAATTTTAAATGTCCTCAGTGACTCTCTACCTCTGGCAGATGATGTTGACCTTCAGCATGTGGCCGCAGTAACTGACTCCTTTACCGGAGCTGATCTGAAAGCTCTACTTTATAATGCCCAGTTAGAGGCCTTACATGGAAGGCTACTTTCCTGTGGACTCCAGGTAAGTCATATGAGAAAATTGTTGTTATGACATTTTGTGAATGATAAGAGCAGTTCAGTGTCAAAATTTCAACCTTAAAAAATACTATTTTTAACAACTTTGGGAAAACTGTATAAAAATTTAAATTGGCAAGGCATAGTGGCTCACACCTATAATCCTAGCACTTCGGGAGGCTGAGGTGGGAGGATCGCCTCAGCCCAGTAGTTGGAGGCTACAGCAGTGAGCTGTAATGACACCACTGCACTCCAGCCCGGACAACAGAGTGTCAAAAAATAATTGTTTTAATTTACCTTTAGTTGAATATTCCATAGTTGGAACATGGATTTTTCAGAGAATTTAAAATTACAAAGAGTTTAATGTCTATTTCTTTAACATTACCTTGATATTGGCAAAATTATGTTGATGTTTGAAAGGATATTATTTAATTTGAGATGTCATGAATTAGATAATATAAATAGAAAAATAATTGGAGTTTTTAGTTTTGTTTTTTTTTTAGGTCCCCAGCTTTTCATGGATTTAGTTTATTTTGTACTTTAATTTAAAAAAAATAATCAGTTAACATCGTTATTTATTTCGAAGCTCAAATTGTCCCAGTCTGACCAATAGGAGCCCTTTTTGGATAGTTCCTGTATCCTTATGATGTGTCCTCATCATTCTTTGATCACTTCCTTACTTCCAGATACAATTAGATGTTCTTGGTTTATCTTATATTTTCTGTATCCTATCCCTTAGGATTAGCTTTTTCTCTAAGGATAGTTATTTTGATTTTAATTTTTATAGTAGATAATTTTTTTTTTTTTGGAGCCAGAGTCTCTGTTGCCCTGAGTAGAGTGCCATGGCGTCAGCTTAGCTCACAGCAACCTCAAACTCCTGGACTTAAGCAATCCTTCTACCTCAGCCTCCCAAGTAGCTGGGACTACAGGCATGCACTACATGCCCGGCTAATTTTTTCTACATATTTTTAGTTGTCCAGCTAATTTCTTTCTATTTTTAGTAAAGTTTTTACTGTGTGCCTCAAAACCACTAGAGAATAAATAAGAGCTTTTTGAAAAATACCTTGAGTCTCTTTGTATTGCTCTATTAGAATGCTGTCAATGTTTATTACTTATTTCTGAGTTGTGACTTATTTAGATCTTTAAGCTAATTGTCCTTTTATGTGTTTTAGGATGGAAGTTCCAGCTCTGATAGTGACTTAAGTCTGTCTTCAATGGTCTTTCTTAACCACAGCAGTGGCTCTGATGATTCAGCTGGAGATGGAGAATGTGGCTTAGATCAGTCCCTCGTTTCTCTAGAGATGTCTGAGATCCTTCCAGATGAATCAAAATTCAATATGTACCGGCTTTACTTTGGAAGCTCTTATGAATCGGAACTTGGAAACGGCACCTCTTCTGATTTGGTATCTTATGCGGTCGCCATTACACAGTTCTGAAATATAAAGCTGTATGTTGGTATAAAGTTGGACAGTGATTTATCTCTTAACCAGCCCCACATGTTCTTTCTGGTTGATTGGTTCTTCAGTAAAATAGTCTTGTTTTTCTCACTTACACTAATTAGTAATTTTCATTCTTTGTTACAATTTTTAAGACAGGGCTGGGAGCAAGGGAGAACCAAAGTAGTGTGTGGTTGTGATTACGCTTTGGTTTCTTTCAGGTTTATCTCTCTTCATTAGTGATTTTAAAACATCTTTAGTAGCAGATCTATTTTATAGTAAACTTAAATTCTATTATTACAGAAAAGTTGAGGGTAATGAGAAATTTGATATAATAATGTTAAAAATTCCTGATAAAATGCTTTGTTTATGATAATTTCCTGGAAGGTAACAGTGAAAAATAGTAACAATGTCTCAACAAGGAAAATGTTTAGATTAACTGTGAGCAATGTCACTGTTCTACTAGCATTTAACACATACCCTTCAAAATTAATAGTGTTCCATTGTTACTTTATTGGTATATACAACATTTTTACGTATATTTACTTATATTTTTCCTGTTTTTTGTACATTTACTTTATTAATTCAGGTTTTAAAAATATAAAAGCAACCTATTTTTATTCCCAAGAATAGTAAGGTGTTGTTTCAATTCTAGTTTTTAATTCTGTTTTCTATTTCTTAATTTCTATCTAGAAATGTTCCAGAACCTTAGTGTAATTTTATTTACTGAAAACTAAGAGTAAGGCTCATTCATAATCTACCCTTGGGCATTAGTGTGTTAGATTTAAGTAACAAAGCAAAAAAAAAGAAAACCTGTTATAGCAGTTTTCACTTTATGGTGGTGCTAGATAGATATCAGTGAACCTTTATATAATAGAATATGAACTTTTAAACTTCCTTAATTTCAGTTAATTAAAAGATGAATGTAACTATGTTAAGGTTTTATTGCTTAAGATTTTTAGTTTTTATCTTTGGTAAATACATGGTGTTTTCTCTCTCTTCTTTTCCCCTCCCCGCGTTCCTGCTTCCTTCTTTCATTACTGTAACTGACCATGCAGAGTTCACAGTGTCTCTCCGCACCAAGTTCCATGACTCAAGATTTGCCTGGAGTTCCTGGGAAAGATCAGTTGTTTTCACAACCTCCAGTGTTAAGGACAGCTTCACAAGAGGGTCACCAAGAACTTACACAGGAACAAAGGGATCAACTGAGGGCAGATATCAGTATTATCAAAGGCAGATACCAGAGCCAAAGTGGAGTATGACTTTTTTTCCCCCCATTATAATTGTTGAAACTTCTTATTGTTGTTCCTTTTTTGTATATATTTTTTTGATTTGTAAATGAGCTATATTTATAAACAAGGGACTGAAACATATTGACTCAGGCAAATGGTTATGCATTTCCTTGCTTCCAAACAATTTTTAGTTATAAGAAAGGAAATGTACAGTCTCTTGAAAAAACTGACAAAAAAGAAATAACGCTTGGACAGCCACTTTTTTCATCACATCCCTAAGTTAACTTTTTATTAATTTCTTTTTTCATTTAAGGAGGATGAATCCCTTAACCAACCAGGACCAATCAAAACCAGTCTAGCTATTAAGCAGTCACATTTAATGACTGCTCTCAGTCACACAAGACCATCCATCAGTGAAGATGACTGGAAGAATTTTGCTGAGCTGTAAGTAACAGATTCTGATTTGGAAGTATAGATATTATTACAGGTGACATAGTTATTCATATAGACCTTTAAAGTTGTTTTTAAAATAAAAAATATTTTGACTATTTTAAAAACCAATTCAAAAAAAATTGTGTAGTAGCTGTGCATTTAAACACCCACAATTTCGGGAGTACAAAATTTGAATTCTTTATAATGGACTAATTTAATGTAAGCAAAAAATTTTTTTTTAATTAAAAAAAATTTTTTTTTAGAGACAGTGTCTCACTTTTGGCCCAGGCTAAAGTGCAGTATCAAGATCATAACTCATTGTAACCTCGAACTCCTGGGCTCAAGCAATCCTTCTGCCTCAGCTTTCTGAGTAGCTGGGACTACTGGTGTGCACCACCAAGCCCAGCTAATTTTTTCCATTTTTTTGTAGAGACAGGGTCTTGCTATGTTGCCCAGACTGGTCTCGAACGCCCTTACCTCAAGCAGTTATCCCACCTTAACTTCCCAAAGTGCTGGGATTACAGGCATGAGCCACTGCACCCAGCCTAAAGTTAGTTAACTTTGAAGAAATAAGAAAAGGAGGAAAATTATATAGCTTGCAAAATTTGTAATGAAAAAATATACCTGTTTCGCCTTCAAAATAATTTATATTTTATTAATCTCAAGAACATTTAAATACATTCAGATTTATTCATTGGTGGACAATGTTTAGTACACATTTGTATTATAGGCTTCTTACAATTGACTCTTTGGTCCCTTGTGAATCTGAAACCCATAGACTTGGAACCATTCTAGGTCAATGATTCAACATAATTCAATTCAAGAAATGTTTATTCCTGGTCTTTAGAAGCTGCAACCCTTTCTTGTTTAATTTTTCAGTACCTTGGAGGGTGTATGTGTTTGTGTGTGTTTACGTACATTAGTAATATATATTTATTATAGAAAAATCAGAAAACAATGACAAGGAAAAATAAGGAAACAAATTTCCCTTAACCCCACTACTTTCCAAAGCATAGTTGTTTGTATGCTTGTGTATTTTTCATACTCCAATAATAACACTCTGCACATATTGCTATATAACAGTCCCCTTTATCCATATACATCTTAAACATTCTTTTATATTTTAAATATATTACCACTTCATTATTTCTTTAATGTCATTTTATAGTGTAGCTATGCTATAATACAGTTTTTGGACATTTAAATTGTTTCCAGGCTTTTAATGTTATAAGCAGCATAGTAATGAACATTCTTGTAGCTAAATATCCTTTGCACATAGCCTTAATGTTTTCACTGGGTTAGAGGTAGAATTTTTGCTTTACAGAGTACTCAGGTATTTAAGGCTTTTGAAATGTGTTGCCAAATTGCCTTCTAGAAATACTGTACAATGTATATTCCAACAACAATATGTGATCAGGCCACTTCTGCACCCTCACTAACGTGGAGTTTTGTAATGTTTTTTTGAATATGTCCCATTTGATTGGAGAAAAATTTTATCTTGCTTAACAATTTACATTTCTTTTATTAAAACTAGATAGGAGTTATAGTTTTTTAATACTGTTCATTGCCATTTGTATTTTATCTTTCCTAACTTGTCTCTTCATCTCATTTGCTCCTTCTTCTGTTGGAGTGCACCCTCAGAAAATTTACTTGTAAAAATTCTCTAATTTCTGTTATAAGTATTTTTTTCTAATTTGTTATACATTCCTTTCATTCTTAATATAATTTTGTTTGTGATCTGTTATCTTTTGTTTTGTAATTGTAATATTTACATGTATTAAATACTATCTCTCTTACTTATTTTAAGGTATGAAAGCTTTCAAAATCCAAAGAAGAGAAAAAATCAAAGTGGAACAATGTTTCGACCTGGACAGAAAGTAACATTAGCATAAAATATACTTCTGACGTGTTTTTTTGGATAGCTTGTCCCTACATTGTCACAGTAAAAAATGGTGTTTTTAAATTTCTTTTTGATTTAACAAATTTAGTTAATCTGTGAAATCACAGATTGGTAAATGCTGGGATTATGTAATGATCAGAATTACTTGAGATTAATACTGTAGAATAAGTGGGGATATTTATAACAGATTCTGTATTTTATTTCCTATAATTCTATGTTAAAATGAAATAATATTGGCCAAATGGTAACACTAATTTATTTCTCCTTTGAAGAAAAGACAGTAGAGAATATAATTAAATTTCTTGGAATTTACAGTTATATATTCAACATCTTTAGCATTTGACAGATTTTATGCTTAGCAACTTCTTGACTGTTTTGGAAATAAAATGTCTGATTATCTACTGATCCAATGATCTGTTCTTGTTATATCAGAAAATGGGGAATTTACATACAATTCAAATAAATTCAATTATCCCCTCCCCCAGAAATGAGATCATATCCCCCTAATATACTATATCTAGCTCCAAGTCCAGGATCTTTGAATGACGTCCATCCCTCTCCTGATTCTGGCAGGATTTTATCTTGATATTCTCTGATCTGTGAACTAAATTGTAAAGTCAGCCACCATCAATACAAATTGTGTTTCTAACTTTGTCATAACAGGGTAAGGGAAAAGCAAAAAAGGGAAAGTTAATTAAAATATACAAATAAATACATAAGACAGCAACGAAGGATGTATAGTTAGTGACCCTTGACCCTTCTGCAGGAAATATGAAGCCATGGCTAATATTTTTTTATTTCTCTGTTCTATTACTTATTCTGTGTTCCTCTGACTTCAGCCATCACATCAGTGGATTGGAAACCTTTTCTAAGTGGGATATCCTGAAACTGTCATTCCCATCTGAACCTTTAGTAGGCCTGCCTAAGGTCGCATCTTCCTTTAACTATCGTCTTTGGCCACTATAGCCCACAAGGTTCCAGCCATACCTTCCCCATCCCCCACTGTTAGCAACAACTCTGTATTCCTTTACTAGAATCAATTTACTTGGTCAACATCATAACCCTCCCCTTCCAAACCATTGGAATTATTGTTGTGTTCCCTTGGTAGAACCACCTCCTTTGGTTACCTCTAAACCAGCAAAGCCCAGAATCACAGGGAATGGAAGCAAAGATTCTGTGGGTCATTAGGTGTAAAACTAGAAGTGCCATCCCCCTGGCACTTTGGTTCTCAGATCCTTGTATTAGGGCCATGGTCCCTGGCTCACAGCATGTACTAAGTATACTGCATCTTGTAGAGCAGTACCCCGGCCTCACAAACACTCGTCTCCCCAAAAGTCCAGCTGTGTCACGTTAGTGAATTCCGTAGGCAGCCACTGCCTTACTCTTTTCACTATAAAGTGAGTTTCATGATCAGCAGCAGTGTCGTTTGCGATAGCATAACAACGTGAAAGCATTTAGTAAGTCCATGAGAGGTGGTGTTGGCCGAAGTTTGTAAGACAGACAAAGCAAATACAATTCCAGTATGTATCCCCTTCAAGGAGGGCAAACTGCTGCCTCCTCTGTGATAGAAGAGGGTCAGATGCACCCAACCTGCTGCCGGGCTCCGGCTGGTCTCCCCTTACACGGTTGCTCACTGCGGCCGACAGGCTGTCAGGGTAGCCAGGCAGTCGGGTCAGCCGTGCTGAGGGGAAGTCCACATTGTGGAGGCCACATGGGGACTCCCCATCCCTGCCACCTTGGCCACTTTGTAGATGAGCCTAGTAAGCAAGCACTGGGGCAGCTGGGAAAGAAGGCTGGTTGACATCCATAGAGAGCACCTGATTTTTTTTTTATTTCAGCATATTATGGGGGTACAGATGTTTAGGTTACGTATGTTGCCCTTTCCCCCGCTTCCCCCCAAGTCAGAGCTTCAAGTGTGTCCATCCCCCAGATGGTGCGCATCGTACTCATTACGTATGCGTATACCCATCCCCTCCTCCCCCCTCCCACCTGCCCGACGCCCAGTAAATGTTACTCTTCTATGTGCACTTAGGTGTTGATCGGTGAAACCAATTTGCTGGTGAGTACATGTGGTGCTTATTTTCCCATTCTTGGGATACTTCACTTAGTAGAATGGGTTCCAGCTCCCTCCAGGAAATTACAAGAGGGAGAGCACCTGATTATTAAAAGCACTGAAGGCTTTTAGCTGAGCACTCGCGCAGGACACAAGTATTCTTGCTCTACCGGCCCATCCCAAGAGCTCTGGCATACTTTTCCCCCAGACCTCATGGCCGGTTGTGCTCTTTCCAAATTTCTGATCATCTGGTTAAGCTATTAGCCACTATCTATGCATCACCGCAGATTTCTATATCAGACATCTCTCCCTCCTGATAAAGTGGAGGAGATACGTTCCTCAAAAATTCTGCTCCGTCGGAAGATTTCCTGTCTCCACTGTTTGTCAGGGCTACCCCCTCAGTATTCCAGCAATGCTTTCACTCTGACAAGTAGGAGTTCCGGGGCTCCAGGAATTAATGTTAGCGCAGACCCAGTGTCTCTGACGGTCCCCAGAATGAGTGGTTATTTCCCAGGGCACCTGGGAAATGGCCTGGTGAGCGGCCTTGGATCCTCTGCGGAAGGCTTGGAGGAAAGAGGATTCATAACAAGAACTTGTGACGGTGTCGCAGGGCCCTTCCCTAGACACCCGGCTTCTTCATTCTTGGTCTGGCCTAGGCCTGAGAGTTGGGTCCACACCCATGACTAGAACTAGATTGTGATAACGCAAATCAGGTGTTTGTTTACTAACAGGAAGATTATTATTTTTTTTTGAGACAGTGTCTCACTGTGTTGCCCGGGCTAGAGTGCCGTGGCGTCAGCCTAGCTCACAGCAACCTCAAACTCCTGGGCTCAGGTGATCCTCCTGCCTCAGCCTCCTGAGTAGCTGGGACTACAGGCATGCGCCACCATGCCCGGCTAATTTTTTCTATGTATTTTTAGTTGTCCAATTAATTTCTTTCTAATTAATTTCTTTCTTTCGCTCTTGCTCAGGCTGGTCTCGAACTCCTGAGCTCAAGCAATCCTCCCACCTCGGCCTCCCAGAGTGCTAGGATTACAGGCGTGAGCCACCGCGCCCGGCCAAGATTTTTTAATTATAAGAATCAAGTAGGATCTTTGCCCGTGTATGTTGGTCTTAAGGACACCACAATTAGGCAGCACTAAAGATCCCTGCAGATCAGACCGTTGTAATTAACACACTGGCTTTCCTGCCAATTATGGTAGCCGCTTCCACCTGGCCTCTCACATCGCAGCCTGACCTCTGCCTCCCAGGAGCCATACCTCGCCACTGCCATCAGCCCATTTCTATCGCAGTGTCTCCCACTTGCATCCTGATGTTGCACATTCTGTAGATTAGCTCATTCAGTATCCATTCCAACACCCTCGCCCTTGCCTTCCATTTCTCTCTGGAAAGCGAATTACTGAGTTACATGATCTCCATTGCGGCCATATGTGACTATTTGTGTGACATAGTTCTGGACAATGAGTGTAGGTAGAGGTCCCCGGGGCAGGCTTCGTTTCTGGAATGAGGGCACAATGCCTGGAGATACAGCAACCGTATTGTAAATATGAGGGTGAAAAACCGCAGGCCACTGATGGTAGTGCAAGAAAACAGAAAGATCTTGGTTCTCTGATGGTGTCACTGAGCTGACATACCAGACTGAATGTCTTACTCCTAGAAGTTTTTTATGCCTGAGATTAACCCCCTTGTTTACTTCTCTGAGTAGGGCTCATATTACAGCCAAGATCAATCCCCATCCCAGATGACATCATCCAGCTGATACCTCTCAAAGTCTGCCCATCCTTAAACTTCCAGCTTGCCAAAAACCCCATATAAGATCAGCAGTCTGCTCTGCTAAGGCAGCTGACCCGCATAGCACTCCCTTACCGTATGGCAAGCAGGAAGTCCAGCTTCGTGTTTTTATTTCAGATATTGCATGGTGGTCTCGCCATCTTTTGACACTGCTTCCCTAACGAGTATTAACAATTCCTAACCTGAAGTCTAGCCTGATTGGGAGAACACCTGGTGGGAGCCCAGATTATCAACTTGCTGGGGTTTTAAAATTTTTATTTTATTATAGTTTTTTTTCTCACAGCCATATTTCCAATTACCTAATGGATACTGAAGTCTAGGAGATGCCTTATAATCCTCACATTACAAACAAAACAGACATAACGCATCACCTAGAAAGCGCCAACTGGAAAGCTACTGCTGATTTTTCACCTTCCACGAAGTTACACTCATGCCTGCCTTCATTATCCTTCTCCCTCATTCTCTATTTTCCAACTGGTTATTAAATTTTGTTGACTTTATCTCCCATATATCTTTTTTGGGGGGTGGGGGGAGGACCACAGGGTCTTACTCTGTCACCCAAGCTGGAGTACAGCAGTGTGATCATAGCTCACAGCAACCTCAAACTCCTGGGCTCAAGCCATCCTCCTGCCTCAGCCTCCCGAGTAGCTGCGAGTAGCTGCCACCATACCTAGCTATTTTTTTAAAATTATAGTAAAATATGCATAACAAAATTGATCATTTTAACCATTTTTAAGTGTACCATTCAGTGTCATTAAGTACATTTACCATGTTGTTCCACATCACTACCATTTCCAGAACTTTTTTTTATCACCCAAAACAGAAACTTTGTATCCATAATATTCCTCTCTCCCTCCAGTCCTGGTAACCTCTATTCTATTTTCTGTCTTTCTGAATTTGCCTATTCTGGGTACCTCACATAAGTGGAATTATACAATATTTGTTCTTTTGTGTTTGGCCTATTTCACTTACCTTAATGTTTTCAAGGTTCGAATGCTATAGCATATATCAGAATTTCATTCCTTTTTATGGCGAAATAACATTTCATTGTATGACTATACTACATTTTGATCATCCATTCATCTGTTGATGGACACTTGTGTTGTTTCTATCTCCCTCAGTCAGCTCGGACTGCTGTAACAAAATACCACAAACTGGGCAACTTAAACAACAGACATTTCTTTCTCACGGTCATGGAGGCTGGAAAGCCCAAGATCAAAGTGCTGGCAGATCTGGGTTCTGGTGAGAGCTTTCTTCCTACCTTGCGGACAGCCACCTTCTGGCTGTGTTCTCACATAGTGTGCAGAGATAGGAAGGCTTTGGTCTTTTTTCTTCCTTCTTATCAGGACGATAATCCCATTATGGAGGATCCACCTGTGTAACCTCATCTAAACCTAATTACCTCCTAATACCATCACCTTGAGGGGTAGGGCTTCAATATATTAATTTCGGGGTGAAATACAAACATTTAGCTCATAACACCATCTTTTGACCTAGATATCTATTTTAAAATAGCATTTTTCCTGATTATATAAGTAGTGGAAGCTAGTAATACAAAACTCAAAATTAAAAATGTATAAAGAAGAATATCATGTCCCTGACCTGGGCAGAGCGGCACTTCGTTGGTGGTGCCAATCTCATATCAAAGCCACCCCTTGTTTATCCTAGCTTAGCTTTGGGTCTGTACCCCTGCCTGCTTCATGTCTTGGACAGATGAAAAAAAAATTTATTTTTAAATGAAGAAGCATATAAAATTTGCTGTAATTCCAACTATTAAATTGTGGACATTTTATTTCCAGTTTTTTTACGTGCATATATACTCATGACTATATGTTTTTTCTACTAAATTAGAATCTTTATGGAGTTTTGTATCTATTTTTTACACTAAATATTTTTATAAGTATTTTTCCATTACTAAAAATTCTTTGTAAATAGTAATTCTGTTGATTGCATAAAATTCCATTACAAACATATAAAAATTCATTTCTCTATTGGATCTTTAGATTGTTACTGTTTTTTTACTACTTTAAACAATACTTTCACATTGTATCAGAATTGGTCTCTGTGACCAATAGCATAGGGCAGAAGTGATGGTATGTCACTTTTTCCAGATTAGATTATAAAAAAGATTGTGGCTTCTGTCTTGGGTGCAGATGCACTCCCTCTCTGTCATGATCATTTGCTCTGGGGAAGCCACGCGGTGAGGAGGGCTGTGGAGAGACCCACGTAGTGAGAAAACGGAGCATCCTGCCAACAGCCACAGGAGGGCACTGTTTCCCCCTTTATTCTTTGCTTTTTAACGTATACAAACTGTTTACAATCCAACCTCGCTTCCCCTATACGGTCTCCTTCGTTACTTTTTAATTTAAAAAAAATATCAAGCCGGGCGCGGTGGCTCACGCCTGTAATCCTAGCTCTCTGGGAGGCCGAGGTGGGCGGATTCTTTGAGCTCAGGAGTTCAAGACCAGCCTGAGCAAGAGCGAGACCCCATCTCTACTAAAAATAGAAAGAAATTAATCGGACAACTAAAAATATACAGAAAAAACTAGCCGGGCATGGTGGTGCATGCCTGTAGTCCCAGCTACTCGGGAACCTGAGGCAGTAGGATCACTTGAGCCCAGGAGTTTGAGGTTGCTGTGAGCTAGGCTGACACCACGGCACTCTAGCCCGGGCAACACAGTGAGACTCTGTCTCAAAAAAAAAAAAATCAAATTCCTATACATGGTAAAAAAAAAAAAAGCCAAATAATTCTAAATACAGAGTTTTTATAATGAAAAACATTATGGAACATTTACAATGAAAAACAGCAGTTCCCTGCCTTCTCCTTCAGTGTCTCAGTAACTGCATCAGTCGGAATTTGATCAGAGAAACCACCACTGGGAGCGTATAAAATAAGGGATCTATGATAGAAGTTGTGCGCCATCGTGAGAGCTTGCGGAATGGTCTGTGTTGCATCTGTATTTGGTGCTGGGGCCTTAAGTCAGCAGGGCCGCAGTCTATAAGGCAAGAGGGACTTGAAGTGGGGGAGAGGAAAGACATCCTTGGACCTGTATCAGTCTCTCACTCTCCCCAAGCCTCCACCTCCGGGGACACAGGTGCCCTGCAGAAGCTGGTGGCCTCGCTCTGTCTCCCAGGATAGAGTGCCGTGGCATCAGCATAGCTCCCTGCAGCCTCCACCTCCTGGGCTCAAGCAATCCTCCTGCCTCCGCTTTCTGAGTAGCTGGGACTATAGGCATGAGCCACCATGCCTGGCTCAGAATTGATATTATACAATTCTATATTCTGCTTTTTTCTCAGATATTATGAAACTTTCCCTTATCACTAACAATTTTCATTCCATATGCACAAATGCACAATAATTTGAGTATTCCCTTCTTGTTGGTCATTCAGGTTCCTTCTCCTTGGTACTGACCTTCTCCTGGCTTACATTTCTTGGGTGTGGGAGGTATACCCTCCTGTGAAAAGTATGGCTCACACATCTGGTGTGAAGTAAGCAGCACAGTTCTTAAAACATGCCCAGGACAGCCAAATAAAATCCACACAAATGCCTCTCCCTTTTCTGATGCATGACAGAAACTTCATTCTGTGTATCCTGTATCCTATATCTGTATATACACAACACACATACACAAAAATACACACATACACAAAAATAAATGCATACATTTCCCTCCATTGTTTATATGATTTCACTTACTTACGGCTGAAATGGACTTGTGATTCAAACTTCTTGATGGAAAACTTCTTAGGCCTGGACAAGCCTCTCACAGCGAAGAGCCAGAATGGTTTAGGATAATTTTTTTTTTCACATACTCATGTTAAACTTTATTTGTGTAAGAGAACTATTTTAAGTTCATGTTAAAAACATCCTTTTTAAAACAATCTTTAAAACAATTGAATACTAATCCAGAATGTAACAGTTTGAAATTCTACTTGACTATTCACAGTAGAATTTGAAGTTAAACCAAAGTTAGTATAAACTAGTATTAACTAAAAGATCAACAAGCATTTTAGTTAACAGTATTTAATTTGGACTCTAAGCATCTCCCACAAGCAAGGACTGGGTTAGGTGCTATGAGAGTTGCAAAGTAAGTAAAACACACCATTGCTGTCATCCAGGGAACACAGGGTTGGGAGTGGGGACAATGGAAGTAGAAACTCAAATGCAATGACGGAATAGGAGATTGGTTTCAAGGAGCCATGGGAGTCTAGAAAGATCTCACGGAGAGACAGAATTTGAGGGCCTGAAGAAAGGCCTTTGGTAAAGTTGAAGGAACAGTATGGACAAGGGCTCAGAGCCAGGAAAATAAGGGTGTACAAGGGAAACATCTCAGTGGTAACGAGAAGGGGGAGACCAGGCTGGGACCACAGAGCAGGGCCACATCGGGGAAAGCCTTAGATAACAGGAGAAATTGACCCCCTAAGCGATGGGATCTATCACATTGGTTGAGGAGGAAAGTGGAAATCAATTTTTATTTTAAAAGCTACTACACAAGTATCTACCAATTTATAAACAAATGGCTAGTTTATACACTGGTTTTTTAAAATGTCCTCATTTTAATAAATATCTTACATTAAGTGTTCGTTTTACCAATCATTCTTTGATTTTCCTAAAATCTATTACTTACTGATAATGAATCTGTCTACTCCAAATTCTCAGTACTATAATACTGTTTTTTGGGTTTGTTTTTTAAAACCATAGTTGGGTAGAAAGTCCTATTTAAATCATTTACATGAAGTAAATAAAATAAATCCAAAGCAAATACATACTGAAAAATACATTTTAATCCAAAAGTTTTGAGCATTAGCATTTAGAAAGTTATTTACAACGCTATTTACAATCAGTTTTACATGTACATGGAGCTATCTACAATTGCTTCTTTCTAACTCACAAACTGTAACTGTGTAGAAAAAGGGTGACAGTTAAAGCTGCTACAGCTCAAAATCACTATGATCCACTTAGATTCTGACAAATTCTCCTGGGGATGAAAAATGCTGGTTAAGTCAGGACAGGAGAGGAGGCAAGTGTGGACCACCCCCTCCTCCCCTATTCTTCCATGCTCCTCCCTTACTCAACTGGCCTGTGCTGGAAGTAAGAGCTTCACTGAATTCTGGACAATTTCATGTACAATAGGGCTTCCCAGGCCAAGACATACTTTTATTCCTGTTACTACGGGTCCACTGCAGATGGTTTAACTTTGGGGTAGACTTTAAAGATACCAACGCTAATGACCTATCTAATCACTTTAATGATTGCGCAGCCATCATTCTAATGGTGGTCAAGAACTACCAACTGGGATGCCTGACCAGTACATGTTCCCCATGTGGCTCTGGTAAAGCTGACTGTCCGTACTATAAAATCTTACGGTTTGATTGGAAGCCTCCTTTTGACGGAGAAATAGTGAAGAGCACATCTATTAAGACCAACTAAATGATTCTGGATACCTTTTGCTACTGAAGAATTAGAAGAAAGTTTTTAAAAACCTGGGCTAATAAAATCATCCACCAATCACTTTCCTTATGGTTAAAGCAGCCAAAAGTCTGGCACAGCATTTTCTAGATGAGAAAATGAGGCTGTGTGGCTTTGTGACAGATTGACACTGTTGGTCACAGCTACATTTTATTTGATTAAGCCCTTAGTCAGAAATTCAAACTTTAATTAATATTTATTTCTTGTAGAAAAATAAAATCCATTATGAGAGTCTCTAGAAATAAATTATGAGGAAAAATAGACACTACCTTTTCCTAATGGTCTCCCTGGAAGTTACTGCCTTTGCCTGGAAGATACACATATAGAATATAATATTTAACTTCAAAATATATTTCATTCTTTTCTATCCCTTTTAATTTGCTAAGTGACTGGTAATAAACAATCTAATGATTACTGGATAGTAGGAAAAAACCTTTTTCCATTTAAGAATTTCATTAAAGAAGTATGTGGCATATCTTATAATAGTATGAATATAAAATAACTGGAAATCCAGTTTTGATTTGTTAACTACACGTGGTTAGCAACTGTTTCCTTAATAGTCATTGCAGGAGTAGGTCCAACGTGAGTCCATATATAGCCCTTCTCCGGTCTGGTGGGAACCGTGGGGAATGGTGATGACCGTGACTTGAAATACTCAGAAGGTGCGTGACAAACAAATTCCAAGTATTCCATCTTCCTTGGAAGATCTTCTTCTGGCCCTAGAAGGCAGCCAATGGAAAGGTTAAATACATTTTTGAACATATATATTATTTTCAGAAAATGTTAAAATTTCTAGCCCCTAGGAGAGAGCACGCTGGTGGTGACCTGACATTAGCCCTTGAAACATGCATTACTCTGAAGTCATTCTCCATCATCATTTTTTCTTCTTCAACTGCTTAAGGAATATGGCATTCTCCCCCCAAAACAATGACTCCATAGGGAAAGGATTCTAAAAATAATACTGAACACTTACATAATGTTTATTATGTGCCCACACTGTTCTATGTACTCATACATATCAATACTTTGAATCCTCACAACAACCCCCTGAGGTAGACACTATTATTATTCCCATTTTATATATGAGGAAAATGAGGCAGGAAAGATTAAGGAATCTGCCAAAGTCACACAGCTGGTAAGTGGCGGGGCTGTCAACTCAGATAGTCTGGCTCAAGTCTGTGCCCTGACCTCAGGACAGGGATGCACATCAGAACCCGGGGATTAGGAAGACGAGGTGGGGGCCAGGATGTCAAGTGTGGCATGCAGAGGGATACATACTAGAATTCGTAAGATTTTAGAAATAACTGGAACAGTCCTTTTAGAAGCTATTTTTGAACATATTTTTATAAGTAACCTAAATAACCTAGTTCCTGAGTAATAAATTATTTTAGTACAGTTTAACCCTGGGTCACTTGGAAAAAATCTTATCCGTACCACTTTTCAGTAGGGTGCACATTGCTCTAGCACATTGCTCTAACTGATAGTACTCAAGCTCCAGCTATATAACATGTCCCTCATATTTTCTATAAAGTTCTTTACTTTTTCTGTACTTAATTATGCTTATGCTTTTTGGTTATAGAATGAACTGTGTCCCTCTACCACTAAATTCATATGTTGAAGTTCCAATTTCTTTTTATTTTATTTTATTTTTAATTATTATGGGTACATAATAGTTGTGTACTTTTATAGGGTACATGTGATGTTTTGATGCAGGCATACAACGTCAATTGATCAAATCAGAGTAATTGGAGTATCCATCACCTCAGGCATTTATCATTTCTTTGTGTTAGGAACATTCCAATTCCATTCTTTTAGTTATTTTAAAGTATACCCTAACTTATTCTTGATTATAGTCACTTTGTTGTGTTATCAAATATTGTTCCTTCTATCTAACTACTTAACTATATTTCTGTACCCATTAACCATCCCTACTTTATGCCCCCCTCCCCAGTCCCCTTCCCCACCTCTGATACCATCATTCTACTCTGTCTCCACAAGATCAATTATTTTTAATATTTAGCTCCCACATATGAGTGAGAACATGCAAGATTTGTCTTTCTGTGCTTTTTGAAGCCCGAATTTCTAATATGATGGTAATTGGAGATGGGACCGTTAGGGAGGTAATTAAGGTTAAATGAAGTCAAAAGGTGATGCCCTAATGTGATAGGATTGGTGTCCTTATAAGAAGAAACACCAGAGGGCTCTCTCTCACGTGCACACAGAGGAGAGGCCATGTGGGGACACAGCAAGAAGGTGGCCACCTGCAAGCCAGGAAGACAGGCCTCACCCAGAAACCAATCTTGCCAGCACCCTCATCTTGGACTTCAGCTTCCGGAACTGTGAGAAAATAAATTTCTGTTGTTCAAGCCATCCAGTCCATAGTATTTTGCCATGGCAGCCCAAGCCGACTAATACATTCTTTTACATAATACTGAAGAATGAACAAAGTTCAAGAACCTGTACCATCTGTCAAACTCACCTATGATATAGGATGCGGGGTCAAATTGGTCTCTGGGGCTAGACAGAGTGGGAATGAGCCACGTCAGGGCTGCACTCTTCTCACAATACTGGTCCTGGATAAAACCCCGGATCTGAGCATAGTACGGCTTTCCGTCTTGTTCATCAATCACAGAAACCACGTCACCGATTTGGTAATACACTCCCTGGGGGAAACAGAAGATAAACCCATATTTAAAATAAAAATAGAATAGTACCACAGCTATGAATGAAACTTCTTTAATATGAAAATAAATTTTCAAAGTGGTCAATAAATGTCTTCAAGATGGTCTAATATATCAATGTTTACATGTTTGATGCCAATATCTGAAGTTGTTTCCCCTTTGAATGAAAAAATGTATATATATATATATATATATATATATACACACAGATGGTTTAACTTTGGGGTAGACTTTAAAGATA